AGACCAGCCGCATGGAGCGGTGGCCAGTCGGTTTAAGTAATATCCAAATTTAAGACGCTACACGTATATTTACCAGATAGAAAATTCCAACTTATTTAATGAAATTTAGAAGACTAAATCACCACTCTTCTTGGTTGATTTGATTGAGCGCAGCACACCAGATTCGATGGGACATAAAGAAATCTCTTACACTCCTCTTCAAATGTTGTAGCGTGACAAATCGTACTCGAAACGTACCTTACCTTACCTTGTCTATTATCTACATAAGTTGTTAATTAAGTTTTAAAGCTTGGAATCTAATGAAGCCTCCAGTGAAGCAGCAATATTAACAGTAAGCACCCTTCAAAGAAACTTCCTCAAAAGGCTCTGATCAAGCTAAAGAAGAGAGGGTATCTGAATCTGGGTTCGAGCCTGACGTGCACGTCTGTCATCTCTGCGGTGCCTTACATGTCTATTGGGTTTGCAGGGTGTTCAGTAGGCCGTGGAGATTAGTCGTGGTGCGCGCAAGCTGGCCCGGACACCCCATGTAAATCAAAAAAAAAAGAAAAGAAAAAGATCAAGCTAAAGAAGAGAGGGTATCTGAATCTGGGTTCGAGCCTGACGTGCACGTCTGTCATCTCTGCGGTGCCTTACATGTCTATTGGGTTTGCAGGGTGTTCAGTAGGCCGTGGAGATTAGTCGTGGTGCGCGCAAGCTGGCCCGGACACCCCATGTAAATCAAAAAAAAAAGAAAAGAAAAAAAGAGAGGGTATCTGAACGAACTGGCTGGCTTTATTATTGACCTTAACGTATAAAAAAGATGTTCCATATTCCATGTCACAATTTCCATCTTTATAAGCGAATTATTACATCTGTGCAGCCTTTTCTTTTTCCCATCTTTTCTGGGTTGCTGCTTGGGCAACCACTTTTTCTGGGAAGGCGCAGCTGCTGCCCTAATTCATTAATCAAGAAACCGCGCCTTCTTAGAGTGAAATTGGTCTGCTCTTAGATAGCAAGCCGTAGGCTTTAGGAAAGCTTGGGCTCTTAATCTCAATCCAAAGTCCAGGACTAACCTGGGACAGAATTCATTCGGGGCCCAGTTTGAACTTCCAGTCCTTCCTTCCTGGCTTGCTCTGTCTCTTGTGTTTTTTACCTTGACAAAAAAACCCGGCACGGTCCTTCTATTTAGCTTGATTTCGTTTGGAAATTGTAATAAAATTGACAAATTAAAAAAAAAGGACTCAAATGTTAAAAAGGATAAAAAATTCAAGTCTGGTCCTAAATTCTTGGAAAAAAAAAATTTGGTCTAAACATTAATTTTATTCCTTTTCAATTACCGGACGAGAGAGAATGTCTCTTTAAAAAATTACAGTAGAAAGAGATAAAGTATTTAGTTAGAGTAATTTTAGAAATAAAAAAGGTTAATTTTATTATAAAGATATTTCATTAGATGAGATGAGAGGAGTTTGGTGTTCGTGATTTTTAGCTTTCATTTTCCTGAAAAAAATAAATTGGGCCTTGAGAAGATTTATAATCTTGGATTGATTTCTTAATTTTTAACTGATTTTTTGCAACTTTGAAGGCAGGGCCTTCGTCTCCAAGCTTACGCACTCTTGACCTACTTCTATGGTCCAGGTGCTGGGCCTAGAGCCTTTCTTTCCTTTTGTTTTGCACTAAAAAAAATTAAAATGTTAATTTTTAAATTTTGACATGGTTCTCAAACAATATTATAAATTTAAATTTAATTTTTTAATCATTATATATCTAAAATAATGATGAAGATGGTGATAATGGTAGTTTTGTTATGGTGATAATAATGCTAATAAATTGTTCATGAATTTCATTTGATTAAAGTCTTTTTTTATTATTAAAAATTTTAAATATAATTTATCACTTTTATAATTTTTTTTTTGTAACATCCTATTGATTAAAGTCTTTTTTTATTATTAAAAAATTTAAATATAATTTATCACTTTTATAAAAAAAATTTTGTAACATCCTGCATACAATTCCTCACTTAGATCCCATATTTTATCATTAACTCACCTCTTGTAATATATACACACACAGTAGATTAATTGTAATATTGATTCATGGATAAGATAGAGCCATGCCTTTAATTTAACAGAAGATCCAGGACGTCCACGGTTGACATATCAACAAGTTTATGCCACTTGTAGCATCATAAGTTGGGGGGAAAAAACATAATTTTAATGAAGTAAAAAATATATCGAAGAACAATAAAGAAAATCAGCCAAATTCTGAAGGCAGCTAGCCCTGGGCATTTCAACAAAAGCCTCTGAAAGGTCTATATATATATATGTATATTAGAACCTATATCCACTACATATGAACATGAGCGACTCATTCTCTTCATCCACAACCATGCATTTCAAGCGCATTATTCGAGGAAGGTGGAAACAGTATTGGATTTGGGCACAGCCTTGACCCAATGTCCAGTGGGATCCAAGCACCACATGGTCTTTTATGTTGTTTAATTGGCTCACCACCTTAACAATTGGGTTTGGAAGGCTCATGCCCAAACCAATACCATCACCACCTTAGATGGGCTCGGTTCAGAGAGTGATCTAACTATTTGGGTCCCTTTTTATCCACTAACTTTATGTACGGGTCATACTAATATGATCTCCTTACTATAATTAAGCTAGCCAGAGGGTGTTAAGCAGGTATATTCATGCCTAGAAGTTGGACTAACCGATTATGTCATTTATCAATCAACAGAGTAATTATCCATCATCTGAAACTATTATCTCACCTTACATAATTACTATTAAAATAGACTACCAAAAATTGAGGCAAACCACAAATTCAAAGTATCAATCAATATAATATCCAATAATAAAATTAAAAAAAAAAAACTAATATCAAATAATAAAATTTAAAAAAAAAAAATTGTTTCAATTGACATTGTTCTGTGTGAGAGGAAAAATGTTTTCGCCACACCTTTTAGATTTTTGTTAATTATTTTAATTCTTCACTAGTTAGAATGTGATATAGTTGAAAAACAAATGATAAAATGGTTTGTTACAAATCAAAATTCTTAAAAACTTACGAGATTTGTTATAGGTTAAAACTCTTGTCCATGATGTTTGTTACCAGTCAAAACCCCTAAAAACCAAGCAAACTCGTAATAATAAGAAAATACTAAAATATTTAATTTTATTTATTCATGAATGCTAAAAATACAAGCTAAATAATTCTATTTATACTAGCCATAGGTCTAAACCCTAATTTATAGAGGAAAAAATCCCTATAAATAATTATAGTTAATATATGGATTCCTAAATTAAATAGAAAATTAAAATTAAAAATATAATATCTAATTTTCAAAAATTGCTTTTGCATTAGTTTGTCTAGGTTAGAAAAAACTCATTCTTGAGTTCAAATTATCCATGAAAGCATCCATGATATTGTTCTTTAAGCAAAACCTTCTAAGTTGAAAATGGTTTTTCATTGTGAAAACATCCACTATAATGTTCTTTGAAAAGAATCTACAAAATTGAAAAGCATCTTTCATGATAAACTGCTCCACTATGATCTCCAACCATGGTTAGGGGTATTCACAATTTAGTTTGGTTCAGTTTAGACTCAAAAAACCAACCGAACCGAGTTATATTAATTTTATGAAATATTAACTGAATTGGACTGAAATCTGGTTTAAACCGAACTGGTTCGGTTCGGTTAAATCTGTTTTTTTTGGAAAAAAACCAGGAAACCGAATCCCTTCACATATTAAACACTAATTTTTCCTTATTTGAAATTTTATATTTCTTACTATTACAATCTTAAGCTAACAAGCAAGGAACAATGCAGTTTAGCTAAACATTTAGAGGATTTTGTAATAGATCCGTAATAGATCCATCTTTGTTATCGTAAACAACAAAAGCTATAAATTCATCTTCGGTCATTAATCATTATTTCCTGTTGATATACCTTGGATCTCTAGACAAACACCAAGTACTGGGTCAAAAATTACCTTGTTATCTTTTCTTTACAGGGGCTATCTCCTTTTACTGCAACTGCAACAACTTGTGTAGAAATAAAGAAGACTTGTGCAAAAGTAAAAAGAAGAGAAGTTAAGAAGATGAAGAGATGAGTTTATGTTTGGCTCACTTTTGAGATGGAGATAAACGTAAAGGCAAAGCAATTGAGATTTGAAAGGGAAAGGAAGATTGAGATAAATATTTTCAAGGGTTAAGCGGTGGCTTTTATGGTTAGGTTTCAGTATTTAACTATTTATACCCTCTTAATTTGTATAGCTTTGGTTTTTTTGTTGGTCCGGTTTGGTTTGTTGGTTTTAGTTTTAAAACCGAAACCAAACTAGACCTATTAAAATTTGTGGTTTTGAAAATCAGTTTAATCGGTTTTTTATTTCGATTCAGTTTTTTTTTCTGGTTTTCTCAGTTAATCGGTTTCTTTAAACACCTCTAACCATGGTGACTCGACAACACATGAAAATACCTATCAGGGATCATTAAATTTGATACCACAATGTAGTAGAGAAGCCAATGATAACAAGGTTTGTTACTAGTTAAAACTTTTAAAGCCTCATAATATTTGTTACGAGTCAAAACTTTCATCCACAAGGTTTGTCACATGTCAAAACTCTTAAAAACCAAGCAAATTCACAATAATAAAAACATTAAAATATTTAATTTTATTAATCAATTTTAGCTGAAAGTATAAGCTAAAACCTTATTTATGCTAACTGTAGGCCTAAACCTTAATATTTAAAGAGGAAAAAATCTCAAGAATAAATTATAGTTAATATAGGCATTCCTAAACTAAATAAAGAAACAAAATTATAAAGATAATATGTAATTTTCTAAAACTTATCATGCATAAGAATATCGAATCTTTTGTATCGACATATTTTAGGGGTTGCTATAGTCCGTCAAGCATCCATGTAGTTTCATGTTCTTAGCGTTTAGCCTCTTACTTTATACCAAAAAAGCACTACGTTATTTTGAGAGGGAATCCGATTATTGAACTAGGATTAAAAAAAAAAGAAAAAAATTCTTGCGATCAGTTCTGCTGTTACCAACAAATTACAAGATGATTTTCATAACTATGGTAGTAACATGCATTTCAATTTTACATAAAAGCTTGAAGTGGTTTAACTTCAAAGCTTTCCAAACAACTACAGTCTAACCAACAGCTTCTAGCATGGAAATATAATGTACACGCTAAGACATGGAGAAGGAAGGGAAGGGCACATCCTTTCCAAAACCAAAGTTGTTTGATGCTACGGGAATTAAACTATACTGGCAGATGTAACACTTTTCAAGACTGGATAAATTCAGATATCAGCTTCATCAGAAATGAGAGCTCTTTTCTTGAAAATCGAGGCTTTGTTTTCACTTGGATCTTCCCTTCCTCCGCAAGCAAGCCCGATTCTTCACCATCATTGGCAGAGTCTACAAAATGGGAGACTGCCTCTGTGATCTCGTGAACTAGGTCAACAATCACTCCTTCAATGCCAATCAAGTGTTGCATGTGTACCACCTCCGTCACATTACTGCAAATATGCAAATATTTTTAAGATAAACTAAAATCGATAAAAATCTTTTGGTTCAAAATTTAGGGAATATATTACAAGTTTGAAAGAATGTAAAGTAGGCAATTCTTACTTCAATTGGCCATAGGTAATCAGGGAAAGCTTAGATTCTTTAATTCTTGTTACTGCTCCTGGATTTCTAAAGACAGCTTTGACTTCGGATACTATTCCCTGGAGGCCACCTTCTGTGCAAACCTTAATGGCCTCATCCAAGGAATTCCTTCTCACATCCGTGTATATTTCTGAACCTCCGTTGGTTAGGAAAAATACCTGGATTACATCATCAGTAAAGACCATTAAAATCATTCGAACAACCAAGACTCATTTGAACCCAAGGAAAGAAATTATATACAGATGTCAAATGTCCTAGATCGAATTAGCTTTGTGAGAACGCCAATGAGAAAGCAATCTTACAGGGTAGGTACTCTGCAATTTCCTCATCAACAGAGCTGCATCAGGTTGAAAACTTGAGAACATTACAGGTCTCTCCTTGGCATGCTCAAACACCACCTAGCTCAAGAAACGTTAGTGCACATTAGCCATTACTAATTGCGAAGATCAAATTTACTAAACAACGAAAATCTGAGACAAGTAGGAGTAAATACCTGTAAAATTACTTGAAGAATATGTTTTAGTTCATCCTCTTTGTAGATTATGTTATCATCAAACTTCAATTCAACATTAAAGCCCATGGTATCATCGACTCTCTGGAAAACCTCTTGCAGTGTACAAAAAGGAGCATCTTCTTCAACTTTCCATTCAAAGATTCTCCCGTCTTTTGTTTTCTTAAATAAAGACTTCCCCTCCTGTAATTTTATAACAATTTCGTGCCTGTTAATATACATCATGCTTAAAAACAAGGTTCAAGGCCTGAAATGATTCATACACTGCCAACTTCATCTTGGGGTCCATATGAACGGAATTCATCTAAAGTGAGGTCAGTAACCCGCTTCTCAATAAGTTCTCCCTGAAAAACAATAGCCAAAACAGATAAATAATCAGTTTTGAAAAGCTTAGTTATAATGACTAAAACAATGGGAAGAGAACCAGGGTTAAAAAGGACAAACCTTATGTTCAGTGACGATGAAGTTGTCATGGAAAATGACTGGACAGTCATCTTTGGTCACCTACAACAAATATGGTGGTATATAGTTTTTGTTTTTTTGTTTACAGTTCCTTTTAAAAGGATCTTCGCTCACTAATAGTAAAATCAAGAGAAGGCAAAACAAACCAACAGAAGGAAACTAATCAGTATCCGCAATTGAGATTCTAATTTTTACAGTCAAGCACAAACAGAAAATCAACATAAAAAAGGGTCTTGGGCCTTTGAGATAGAGGTCTTGTGTGGACAAAATATCTTGGATTGAATGAGTCGAAAGAGATTGGGTAAGCATTCACAAAAGCCCATGATGATTCTCGGCCATAAATCTTTTAGATGGACCTGGACAAAAGTGAGGAAGCCGCATTCTAGATCACCAAAATGCAACCAACGACGTGTAATTTTAGACAGGCATCATACTAAAACGGACAAGAAAGAAGAGACAAAATCCAATGAACCAGGCCAGCAAACCCGACCACTGACGTGGCAACAAGAAAACAAGTTGATGAAAAGCTGCGTCAGTTTTGAGGCGAATGGAGACAGAAGAAACCTGACAACTTTTTCTTATTATGTTGGTTGTCCCTCCCAGAGATTCATGCATGCGATAACAATGATATACCAACAAAGTTGGCTATTAAGCGAAGGAGATGAACAATTTTGATTTATCTTTTACCTGAACGTCGAATTCAATGAAATCCAGAGGTCACTTGGAAGCAGAATTGAAGGAGAGAATTGAATTCTCTTTGATGGATTTCATTCTCCGATCACAAGATTGTAACATGTTCATTCCGCTCCCTCTATGTCCCATCACCACAAATTTTCCGAATTTAAATCCTCGCTTGGTGTCATCACTTCCCTCAATACTCACACCTGATCATCAATTAAACAGGGAAAAGAAACTCATGCTTCTTCTTAAGAAAGAAAAGACCATAGATCAAGAATGCAAGGCGGTGATTGATCAGGAGTTACTTACATTGAGTGATCAATCGGGAAGAACAGAGGGCCAATGCTGCATTCTCTTGGACTTGATCAAGTTTTGGAAAATCGGAGACATGAGCAGCTTTTAGAGCCATTCCCCTTCAAGAGTGAAAGAGCGGACACAAAAGGGATTGTGAGGTTTGTTTCTAACACACAGGGGTCCTTGAGCTATGTATGCGCGCAAGGTATGGAGGTGGTATTTAAAGGGCTACACATGCAAAAAAAAAAAAAAAAAAAATCTATATATTTTTTTCTTGGTTTATTAAAGGAAAAGCATATCTTAATGCTCCAAGGGAAGGCTCCAGAGATTGGATAGAATATTCCATATAGAGAAGGTTAGTTTTGGTCCTTCCTTGGGAAACTGCGGTGCTTTGTTCATTCATCTCATTGTTTGCGTTGTCCTAATTTAACTTGAGGCACAGATGTTCGTCATGAACACCTCATATATTAGGCATTTATTTTTGCCCATATCCATTCCTCCAGTTTAGTCTTTCTGTTTCAGATAAATCTTCTATATTTGGTTGGCGCCCTTTGCAGTTCTTGATGCAGCTACTTATGAGTTTACGTTTATCCGTGGCTTGAATTCTTCCATTTGGAGAGTAACTAGATCCAGGCACACAAAAAGAAGACGAAAAGAAACAGGTCCTACACGGCAATCACGACACCTGTTCCTAATCACACGAGAAATTAGAAATAGCTAAACACTAGAAATGCCCTGCCTGCCTTCATCTTCTAGATTGTTGTAGAGAGATCAAATGCAAGAATCTTCAACAACCTCCACCCAACTCAGTTAATCTTTAATTTACTTTATTAAAAAAATTTCAATCAGCTACGTAAGTCCTTTTCCTGTAAAAATAACATAATTGTAAGATTTGCCCCTTCTTTACTATGATGGTGATGAAATTATAATTTTTGTTTTTTATTTTTATATTTGATATTTTTATCATTTTACTTGACCTATGTATCATTATTTTTTTTATTTTCATTTTTTTGGTTATATTGTTTTAGTTTTTCTTTTTTTTTTCCTTGTATTTTTTTTTTAAATAATTTCTAATTTTTTATACTTTAAATATTTATCAGTATACTCTTGACCTATCTACACTATTCTTTTTATTTTTATTTTTATTCTTTTGTGATTTTTTTTCTCTATACTTTCTTTTGAAAAATTATTATATAGAGACAAAAAAAAAATTGTGTTTTCACTGTAGTAATTAAAATATTATTTTATTTTTCTATTATGTTAAAAATTAACATGAGATCTTGGATGTTTTAATTAATATATATAATCTTCATAATATTTTATTATATATATGAATCAAGTTTTTGGTTTGTAGTTATATCGATACTAAAAAACATGTTAATAACACTTATACACAATTAATTCTTTTGTGTTAGAAACAAAAATTACCTAACTTGTAACAAAAAGCTTGAATAAACATGTTAATATTTTATTTTTGAATTTATTAAAACAAATGATTCTTGATATATTTAATCAAATACATGTATAGGCTTTTTGACTTATAATTAAATTATTAAAAAAACATATTTGAAAAGCTTGTATATTTTTTTAAAAAAAACTATCCAAGTTGAAGTATGAATTAAATAATTAGTTTTATTCTAAACTAAAAGATCGTTTATGAATTTTATAACATATAATGTCATTGTGCATGTGGTTTTTCACTTATATATTCTTAATTCGGTTTGCCATTCCATATATGTTTTAATTTTTAGTAACGAATAAAATTCATTTAATGAAAAAAGAAATAGTCACGTTTATTGCATAGTAGAGATTATATACCCTAATTGTACATTTAATTATATATGTTTGGTATTGTGGTATATAATATTTTTCAAAAATACTTTTTATTTAAAAATATACTAAAATGATTTTTTTTAATATTAATATATCAAAATCATAAAAAATAATTTAAAATACATTAATTCTATATATTTTCAAGCTAAATATATTTAAAAAAAGCATCAAGATAAAAAAAAACAAACGGTACACACATCTTTAACAATACGTGTAATAGAAAGTTTCTAATCAAATCAAACTCCTTTTTCTAATTTTGGTTATATCAACCATTTTACTTTCAATTAATATTTAAAGTGATTTGAGATCTTGTTTCCAGATACATTATAGAAAAACTGGTGTACTATTTTTTGCCAGTGATAGTGGCTTATCAGTTATTGTGCCATCTACACCATTAATGAAAATAATGGTGATGAACAGTGTCATTAATAAGGCTGTCAATTTTATTGCCGGAATGGCACTTTCTAGCAGAATTTTCATGGCACAAAACATGCAACTCCAACCCTTCAGCCAGTAAAATTGCAGATCAGCATTCATACCGTCAAATGATTTGAATTTGGAAATATGGCATTTCCATTTGCAATTGAAATTTAAAGTGCAGTTTCAGCCTCCAAATTCATGAGTTCAACACATTTAACCAGTGGTAGAAGGATTACGCCATTCATACATTAAAAGTAAAATATATATATATAGGCAGCCTCTGTTAGGTGTTGCATATATATATATATATATATGCAACACCTAACAGAGGCTGCCTAGCCACTATATCAGAATTCTTTGGCGTCCTCTAGCATCAAGAAGAACCTGAACCAAATCACATCTTTTCTGGATCCTGAATCAAACCTTTTAATTCCGCAGACCATGCACTGCACACAGTTTTCAAGGGAGCAAACCATTTGAGCCATTTTGGTATCATCGCCATCAGTATTATCCGCTTTCAGTTTCTTATCATGAATTGCCTGTAAATAAGAATTTATTTCAATGAAATAAACAAACAAAAATGGTAGAAAAGCAGTGATTATTAAAGGTTATTAAGAATAGAAGTATGGCAATGATGTTTGATTTTCACTTATTTTATATTAAAAACTTTTATTTTTTTAATACTTTGATATTTTATTTGTGTTTAATTATTTTAAGCTGGAGTTCTATTTAGCATTAAATCTTGACTATTTAAAAATATTAAAATTATATTTAGATCATTAATTGATATTATATTTGTATTATATGATTTAAAGTTAGTTTGTTTTTATATTTAAATTTAGATCTTGTTGAGTAAATATTTTGAATTATATACATGCAAGCATCCACGCAATAGAAGATTACAAAACTAAAAATTAAAATATTTTGAAATTTAAATTTATTATTTTAGTAAAAAAATAAAACGCTAATCAAAGCAAATACAATACAAGATCATAAAACAGAAACATGTTGGAACTCAAATTTATGGTTGTAATAAGAAAAACAAAATACTAACAAAACGAAATTAACAACCTTAAAAATAATACTTGTTCTACATGATATGGAGAGTTGTTTGTGCGTGTAGAAAATTGTGCGCGTGGCTCATGGAAAAAAAATACATGGAAAGGCACGCTGGGACAGACCGAGGTACGTGGTGGGCTGAAAATCCCACATGCCCAGATAGCAAAGTGGCTGTGAATTTTTATTTATTATTTTTTAGATTTTGGACAATGCCAGATCATATCTTCCAATAGAAAAGAAAGAGGAGGAGGAACTGAGGTTTAAAGCTTGTTATTACCGTATTTGGTTGCTTTCTTACCTCAGTTGAACTGTATTTGGAGATAGGTTTTGAAGCATAATATAAATTTAATTTTTGTAGTTCATAATTCAGGGAATTTGCTTTAATGAATAAATTTCGCAGAAAATGTCAAAGAAGGCGTGATTTCACCCTCCAAAATGGACGGCTTTGAGCTAAAGTAAGCTGGAAGTCTAGCATGGTGTTGGATGCATGCATGTACATCGTCTTGCATAGCTGCAAGCCATTAGCAATGTGTCACATCACTTCATTTTAATGGAAAAAACAAAACAGATGGCGTTTTAATAAATAATTCAAATTCATCGAAGTAAACGCTAATCAATCTCAATAAACATGGCGTCTGAGTGGAAAAGCACCAGGCTTTTTCGTCACGTGCATATAAAATGTCACGCATGCTTCGTAGTGGTGGAATTGATCTTGATGAGACTTTTCGTGCACCTCGTGGAGTTGAGTTTTTTGTATGGTGGACAGCTAGCACGTCGCATTTGCTAGCTCGGCTCCGTTACCGGACAAGAAACTGAGCATCCCTCCACCTGGTTTTTTTAGTGTAGTTGTGATTTTGTTTTTCAATGTAATTCATGGACTTGTATTTTATAAATCATGGGGGATTTCTGTTATTTTATGTATAAATTTAAAGTTTGGATTATATTTTTATAATTTTATGGTTCTTAGATAAAGATATTAAAAAATAATATAAATTATATTTTCAGATCTCATTTAATAATTTAAGTTATTAATTTGAGATGATTCTTTAATATAGTATTAGAGTCTTGATAACTAAGCGATCATGAATTCAAATCTCATCTTTTTTATTTATTTGATAAAAATTAAGTAGAAAATAATATGAATATATACAAGATTTAAAGTTAAAGAACTTTCACTCGAGGGAGTGTGTTAGAGAATAATATAAGTAATATTTTAGAACCTTACCTAACAATTTAAATTATTAAATTAATATGATTATTTGATAAAAAAATATTATTTTTTTTAATTTTAAATTTAGATTTTACTTTTATAAAATTAATCTGAAAAATATAATGTGGCTGAATATCCAGTAAATATTTGTTAAATTAAAAAGGTTTTTTTTTTTTTTTTTCTCCAATCTAGTATTTTCATGTCAAAAGTGCATGTGCATGATGAATTTAATTATTTTGGATCGGGGAGTATAATCCGGCTCATATTCAATCCATTGCGATCGCTTATCGTGTGTCCTTTTTTAATATTCCATTTATATTTCTTTAAGGAATTAACGTCATGGAACTTAACATACTTTGTTAAGTAATTCTAACAGAAATCTAATTAAATATAATCTTTTATGATTTGATAAATTATGCTCAGTCAGCTAAAATCGAAAATACTAAAGAGGTTGTGTTTCTTATTTATGATTGCCCTTGTTTGGATTCCTTCTCATTGTTGGGATTAATGAGATTTGCATCTGCCTATTATAGTCATATATTCTTGGTTCTGTTCAAACACTAAGAACAATTGGGAGTCAAAGGGAATTAGAAATCTCAGTTTAACTGTCATTTTCGTGACTAAATTTCTGAATTGATTGAGTGTTTAATGTGAGATAGATATGTAAATACAGATAACAAGATACCATTAGTTGTCTCCAGCCTTGCTTTTTCCCTGAAGATATATCTTTGCTCAGGAAGATTTATGGCTAACATTTGGACCATACCGTCCTAACTACGCTCCGACGGATCCAAAGACATCTGGGGGAGTTTGAGACTATTCAAATTACCTTAAAATATTCTCGATGTAAGTGGAAAAGCACCAGCTTTCCCAATCATGTATGTGAAATATCTTTTATGCAAGATTCATCATGGCTGGAATTGAATTCTTCGTTGAGCTCATGGAATTGAGTTTTTTCTACGGTGGACAACAAGCAAGTTGCATTTACCTGCACAGTAGGCAAGCATCAAACATTTGAGTGGGAAAAATAATGGAAACACCAGATACGTAGTCAATTTCTCTATGCTCACAGTGCACCCCATTATGCAGCTGTGCTCTGCATTATCTCAGGTACATCAGAAGGACACTGATTCATGGCCTCCATTTCAATGCTCACTCGTCACTTGAGATGCTGATTGGACATGCGATTTTATTGGTTATAGATTCACCACTTGCTGTTGTCTTTTTCTTGGTGATTTCTTTTATTTTTTGGACATAACAAAAGGCAAACAATTGTTGCTCGATCCAGCATAGAAACTGAGTATCGTGCAATTGTTGAAACAACCTAGGAACTTTTTTGGCTTTGTTGGTTACTTTAAGACATGGGTGTCATTTGTTCTACTGCAACTATCATTAACTATGATAATCCACTTGCCATCTAATGATGTATTCCATGAACGTACAAAGTATATTAAGATTGATTATCACTTTGTACAACAACATCTTACCTGTGAGACTATTGAATTATCCTCAATTTCATTTGCTATCAAATTGTTAATATCTTCACTAAAACATATCTTACTAAAGCCTTCATAATTTAGTTTCCAAACTCAAGTTGGTCTCCATTTTACCGCCTCAAGTTTTTTTTTTTTTTTGAGGGGTGCTATTAATGTACATAATGTATCCCACGGTGATTAGAGAAGAAAACTCACCACTTTGTCTAGGATATAAATATACTGCACTATGTTGTAAACAAAATACAACATTCAATACAATTCTCTCTTCTTCTTCTTTTATTGTCTCTCCCTCTCCCTTTCTCTATCTTAATGTATATAATGTGTCCCATATTGGTTAGGAAGAGAAACATCCTCTTAGTCTACATAATAAATATATCTATCCCATATATATTGGTTACAGAAGAAAACCCCCCCTGTTTGTCTAGGCTATAAATAGAGTGCGCTCTCTTGTAAACAAAACACAACATTCAATACAATTTTCTCTTCTTTCTATTGTCTCTCACTCTCTCTCTCTATCTTAGCGTGGATAGAGCCACTAGTTTAAGAGTTTCTCAATTTATCAATTGTTAAGTATGCTATGTCATTGCCACTATTAGTGGCAATCACATTAAAAAGGCCTAACTATATTATATGGGCTCATGCTATGACTAGTTTTTTAAGGATTAAAAACTTTAGTGTTATGTAACCGGAGATATCACTGAACTAGAGAAGATAAATGAAGACAACACCAAATACATAGATCGTCTTGAGCATTGCGATAAAAACAACCATAAAATCACCATCTGAATTCGTAGCACATGTGCTCACTTCATCAGTCTCTAGTTTGGTAGATTCAACACTACCAAATCACTTTGTGGGGTTTTTAGAAAAACATTAAATTACTGCAAATCTATCACATCAATACCATCTTCTTAGCACTCTACATCGCATGCAACAACAACCTGGACAATCTATCAACAATTTCCTATCTGAAATGCGCCACGTTTGGGATGAACTCGCTTCCGCAAACCAGAATTTATAGATGTCACTAGTGCCGAAAATTTTTATGACTATCGAGATCGTTAACACTTGGTTCTCTGTCTCATGTCCCTCACTAATGAGTTTGAGCATGTTCATGCGTCTCTTCTTCATCGCCGTCCCTTGCCTGCTCTGGATCAAGCTATTACTGAACTTCTCTCGGAAGAAACTCATCTTGCCCCTCGCAAACCAACTCCTATAAATGTTGCCTCTACCACTGTCAAAGGACCTCAATCCAATAACAAAGATCAATCATATGGATCTTCCAAGAAAATTTGCAATTACTGTAAGAAACCAGGACACATTCTCTTGGAATGCCCGATTCGAGTTTGTCGATTTTGTCATAAGGAAGCTCCCGGTCATCTTCAACGTGATTGTTTTCAAAATCCCAACAGATATTCCCAACAATACACATCACATGGTACTTCTTCTAGAGTCACTGCCACTACAACTAAAGGTTCATCATCCACTGCTCCCATTGAAAAATTCTCTGCTTCTAAGTTCTAAGATAGAACAAATTCTCAAACAAGTCCTTGTTTATTTTGGTAATCCACCCTCTCTATCAGTCACACTAGATAATTCATCTTGGTTTTTTGACTCTGCCCGTTGCAGTCACATAACAGCTGGTTCCACTCCCTTTCCTACCAAACGTCATGATAGTTATACTCCATCAATTCAAACTACCAATGGTTCTCTCATGAATGTAATACATATTGGAACAATTTCAATATTAAACATCTCTCTTCCCGATATTTATTGTATTCCTAGACTCACTCTCAATCTCAAATCTGTTCGGTCTAATTGTCTTTTTCACGAAGAATAGGTAACCACCAACCAATAACATGCTCTGCTTATTCTGATAAACAACAACAGCAACAATAGTAATAAGTCAACAATAGTAATAAGTCACTGGTCATGACATCAATGTCTATCAAGCTGTGATTGGGCTTTAGGTCCAGCAATCTAGGCCTCTGGCCTTTTCCTGAAATGAAAACTTCCTGATGAAAAGAAGTTCATACACGCCCAAATTTTGCTTCAGTTGGAGGTAAATCAGACCAAACTGGTCAGATTATGGATAGGAATTTCTCAAAAGCAACGAAATTATTTTCTGAAGAAAGCAAATCAGATCAAACTTTTGAATAGAATAATTAACGGTTAATGAATAGAAATGTAAGGAAATCAAACCAATTAAACCTTCGAATGCTCTAATTAAGCCTGATCATGTTTCACAGCTTTGAGCTCCAACATAAAATTCAAACATTCGACATTCGAGATAAAATCACAGTGCTTTCACAGAGGGAGGAATATGCTAAAAACAAATAGGAGGAAGGGGATGCTCTAGCTGATAGACATAGGATTCCTACAAAGATTTCTGAAGTTCAAACCCGGGAGGAGTGACTTGGGATAGAGTTTGCTGCGTGCTACCACTGGAAAACATTCGAGTTATTTCGAAGGGAACAGAACAGAACTGCATACAAGAGTTGGACACCCAGCCTCCGCATAAAAACTACAGTAGAGTAATTAAACCCAACTAAGATATCATCTGTAAGTAACTAAACGAGGTCACATGGTCCTTAATTCCCTATGCTGCAGTCAGGCAACAACGACCCAAAGTTTAGATAGCCAAGATTAGCCATCCATTGCCTTCTGATTTTCTTTCATTTTTTGCGGCCAACACTAGAATTAGAGTTCCATTTTGTCTATTTCTTTATCGACACTTCTCGTTCTCGTTCAACTGATATTTGGATTTTTGACAGTTCCAAATGCGAGCTTTTATTAGGAAGAGTCCATTGGACTTCCATTTGCATTAAGAACTGTTGAGAAACAACGTATTGATCTTGTTACAAGATCGACAAATGATGCATCATGTGGCGTTGATGAATAATACATCAAGTTATTATATTAGATATCATCATTTAAAAATGTAGTACGCAGTCCAATCCATGAAGACAAGATCAAAGCTTCGAAAAGGTGGGTTTTCTTTTCTGTAAATGTGCCGAGACTGCCTCCATGAGATCATCAGACACAAGCATTGAAGAGTTCCAAGTAGCTACATAATCCAATCCCTGTTCCAAACTGGAGTCGCGACTTCTTAATAGAACGGCTTTTGTCCCAGTGACAGCAAGAGGCGACTTTGCTGCAATCCCTGGTAAAATCACCCTCACAACACATCATCTTCAGCAATTGTATGGTTCTAAAAACTATGAAAGTGAAGTTTGCTGACGCAGTTGCCATGTAACATGCTAACAATAACAATAACCACTAAAGCCAGTCAAAATCAATAATTTATGAGGCAGCTACCACATTTCACCACCACGCCTCAACTTACTAAAAAACATCGCAAGATACCAAAATGCAGAGTGTAGTTATGTTTGCTAATGCAAGAGAGAGAAATTGCTAAACATCATATCAGCACCAAACAAAAATCCTAATTAAACAAAACCTGCATTAGCCAACATCCTAATGCAAACATAAGCATACCCAAAACAACAAAATTTCTAGTACTCAAGTCTCATACAAACTGAGCTACGGCTTTCACATAGCCCAAACACCTCATACAGAGAAACACATTGTTTCATATACATACTCACTTGATAACTTCAATGCATATATCACATCATCATTCATCATAGACCAATACATTGTCAAAATTTTCATTTAATTTGATAATGAAGATATGGGGTTTTGCTCCAATGCAATAGCCATCATGGCTATTGCATTTGCAATTCAATTCAAAACTAATTGTCCTGATGATAATCAGGAGTGCAGCTATGCTCATAACATAGGCATTCTATCTAGACTTCCCCTAGAAAATTGTTCAAACTATCACACCATATGCAAGCATGAAACATATGCCCTAATCCACACAAAAGTCTAAATTTTACACCTACAAATAACGGTAAGAGCTAAAACCAACAAAGGATAAGACCAACTTACCCTCGGCGATGATTTTCACACCCTCATCCAATTCCTCTATAGACCCAAAAACCTGAGAAACCAAACCAAACTCCTTGGCTTCCTGACCCGAGAACCTCCGACCAGTCAAAGCCAATTCCATTGCATTACCAAATCCAACAATCCCCGGCAACCTCTGTAACTTCCCTAAATCCGCCGTTAACCCCAAATCAACTTCCTTCACCGAAAAAAAAGCATCTTTAGAACAATACCGAATGTCACAAGCTGTCACAATATCGATACCGCCACCGATACACGCTCCTTTTATCGCAGCGATCACAGGCTTCCTGCACCGCTCGATCGCCGTGATCGCGTCCTGCAGGAGCTTAATGTCTCGCCGGAGCCTCTCTCCGGATCGTCCACGATCGCCGGAATCGTTGGCGATGGAGTTTAGGGTTTTGATGTCGATACCGGAGCAGAAATGGTCTCCGGTTCCGGAGAGGACGATGACGGACGCGTTAGGGTTCTGGTCGAGGGATTGGAGAGCAATCGGGAATTCAGTGAAGAAATCACGCGATAAGGCGTTTCGCTGAGATGGACGGTTGAGATTTAATTGGAAAACACCTGAGTTAGGAGATTTTTGGAAGACATGGAGAGTTTTGTAGGGCTCCATTTCTGACTTTTGTTTGGGTTGTGAGAGTAATTTCAAGAAAACGATACAAAACTTTTAGAAGAGAAAAGGAAGGCCTCAGCTAAACGACGACGTTTCTAATGCTTATTTTCAAAAAGAAAGGGAAAAGAAGTCAAGCCCAGGTAACCAGATTCTACGTTCACGCTTCACAATGCAAACCCACATGCCAACAAATATCTTTGACAATGATCCCTAAATTTATTATATATCTCATTTCTTATTTAACCAATAATTTTGCTCATCAATAATTGAGAATTTGAGAGTTAATGCGGCCGGTGATTTCGTTTTTTTTTTAAGAAGGTGGTATATTGAAAGGGTTGGTAAAAAGAACGTGGGTGTCCGGGCCAGCTTGCGCACCACGACTAAGAAGTTGGTATATTGAAAGGATTGGTAAAAAGCAGCTAAAAGCAAAATATAATAAAAAAAAGTGGAAATAAAAAGAATCACAAAAACATTAAAAAAAAAACTATACCAAAAAAGATTCGATATGTTATGTTCAAAGCATTGATTTGGTGGTAAACCAACCTATAATATCTTAAAATCTTATAATTAAAATAATGTCAATAACCATGAAAAATTTATATGTAGATTTAAGCTAATTTAAAAGGTGATAAAGAATTAAAAAAAAAATAGCTTTGAAATACGGTTGATGATTGATTAGAAGTGTTGTGCGCAATGATATTTTATATGGATGAGATTGAAATTAATTAGTGGTTTCGGCATAAACAAAAAACCTTTCCTTTATTCGCTCGTGCATGATTAAGTTCTTGGGGGATAAGGCGTTGATGTTTCATTAGAAGAGTTGTGTACGACATTTAATTTCTTATATAGAAGCCGAGATTGAGATTAATCAATGGATCTTGTTAAGCAAAAAACTAAAATTCCTTAATTCGGTCATGATTGATGCAGTCGATGACCTCAAGAGGGGCATTAATTCAAGATTAAAAGCAAAGAACAAAGGGTGTGCCAATTATGAAATGAGTTTGAAACGTTGTTGTACAGATTAAGGAGACATGTATATATTGCAGATTTGTCTTGAGATTGCACGTAATCAAGTGATCTCCACGTCACCAGAATTCTCATAAGCTGATAAAGAGGAGATAAGAGTTTTAAAGTTGGGGAATCCAGCTTTTTATCTCCAGAAACAAAAGGTGTACATCTTCATGTTCAGCTTTATTAAATTAATCCTGTAAACGTCATCTTAACTTTTTTTAGTTGATTATGATTCTGTTTGTTACCATGTTAGTGGCTTTTTAAGGTATTTTTTTTATAAAAAAATATATTAAAATGATCTTAAAAGAATTAAAAAATATATATAAAAAAACTTTTACAAGAACGTTTTACAACAGCAGAAACAAAAGGATATTCGTGAGCTTCTTCCATAGTCCCATATCGTACATGTTACCTCACCCCACCACAACCACCTTATCACCATTCCAAAATCCAGTAATGGTGCGGTGTTCTGTCTGAAACCAACGGATGAAGACAAGGAAAATGTCGACGCTCAAAACACATCGGCAGCATCTCAGGTTGTCTTTGACTGAAACTTGAAGGTTATTACCGAGATTACATTCTCTAGCAGCTCTGACTTTACCTGCTGTTCACATTCAATTATTATACGAGATGGAAAGATGTCTTCCAGTCATCAACATGTAGCTATCAATTATGCCACGCGTATGATCATATTACCTCTTAGCTGACAGCCTCTAAATGAGTTTATTTTTGTATTTTAAAAATATTTTTTAAAAATTAAAAAATATATTTTAAATTAATATTTTTAGTATTTTTAGATTATTTTGATATATTGATATAAAAAATTATTTTTAAAAAAATAAAAAAATATTATTTTAATATATTTTCAAGTAAAAAATACTATTAAAAAAAACAACATTCACATTTTTCTTGTTTCGTTTATTTTTCGTTCTTCCTGCTGTCTGCTACATAGCATTGATTTGAACCCTTACGTTTGTTATTAATTCTCTTATTCAATCATGTCCCTTTAATCATTGAAATCGGAAGAACTACAACTGTTTGCCTAGAAAGACAGCATGACACTACATATATATATATACACACACACCTTTTCATTCAAATCAAAAGCAAACGAAGGATAAGATGTGATTGCGTTTTCACCTGCCTTTTTGTAAAGTTTGTTTACCTCGGAATTGATGGGTTTTTTAGTTTTTTTTTTTAAGATTTTAAAAGTAAAAAACAATCTAAGAAAACTTATTTAAAAATTACTCTTAAAAAACAACATATGCAACATGATGTCAAACACACCAACTCCGTTGATTCAATTTTAGATGTTTCCCTCTCTCTTTATTAAAAAGAAGATTTCCTGTTCTTGGTGAACGCCAATAGCTAAATTACTAGCAATAATTAAACAGTTAAATTTGTATTTAGGGGGGTATGATCAGTTAAGCTAGAACACTATATATACGTGATTTGGACTAAGCTTTTAACCTCAGATCTTTTATGGAAATAATTAATTAACAACAGTACCCTTTTAAAGAAACTGATAGGCAAGTGAAGAAATTCAAGCCATTGGTTAGTTAGCAGTTGGTACATTTAGCCTTAACAAGAACTACAAATTAGCTGCCAAATAAATAAATTAGCTAAATGAAGTACAGCTAAATATAAACGTAGCATATTCCTGAAATAAATGCTAACCCTAGAAAGAATAACAGCAAAGAGAGAACAGCAGAAAATTAATCATTTGTTCTTTTATGAAATAGCAAGTTCATGTATTTTGTCATCTGCTTTCTCCTTGTATAACTGCAAAAACAGATGGCTTGGAGGAGAATAAAGCGAGATCCCCTCCATAACACGACATGTATTATAAGCCTAAATGCTTACATAAAACATACATGCACACACCACACTGCTGGCTATAAAACAAAAAACAGAAATACTGTAACTTAAGCTGACGTGTCAATGCGTGTTTGGTTTTTTTCTTTTTCCTTTTGTTTTCGTTTGAGAGGATTCAAGAAGACTAGAGAAGAAGATTTGTAGGAGGAGAGATCGAAACGGCTAAAAAGAAAAGAAGAGCTGTGGAGAAGTCACGTGAATTAAGCTTTGTATTAGGGGATAGCTTTGCTGTATGTTAGAAACGTAAGAGCCTCGACACATTCTTCACTGATCCATCCCACTCTCTGTCAGGGTGCGTGCAATGTATGATCCTCCACAAAGACCACTGCTAGTGCATCTAATTAAATGTCATTGAATTCATGTTAAGTAAATTCTACTGTTGATTAATTAGACCCAAATCAACAATTATAACCAAGGAGTGAAACTTTTCCCTGTAAAGGTGGTGTTCTTAAGAATAAAAAAATTATTGTATGCATGCTCATTAATTGGGTCCGAAATGTAAGCACGCGAGGAGGAGGGTACGTGGGAAAAGGAAAGGTAATTTGTGTAAAATGAATTTGGGCTACGCCACCTACTAATTCTCCACTTGTCATGCAACAAGAATGAGTTCAATACGCACACTCTCCTGTATAGTTTTTCACATGTAAATCAACAGTGTGAATTTTGTGTGTATATAAAGGGTTCTCAAAACTTTGGCTTGCATGAGATCATTGAGAGAAGGGGGAGCTTTAGGTAGCGAGTGATTCTTAGACACAGAAAGCAAGGGATCCTTAATTTGCCTGAGGCCCTCTGCTTCTTCTGTTTCTTAGTTTCCACATATAGAGAGGTTCTAGTTTGGTGTTAATTTATTGAGGAGGAATTAGTTCAGATGGCAGTGATGAACATGCAGCATCCTTTGGCATTTACATTCGGCATCCTCGGTATATTATGCACCATCTTTTTCCTTTCATTAATGAGGAAAAATTTAAAGAGTTTAGCCTGAAAATCAATGCATACAAATAAACAGAAAGAAAGCTAGCTGTGGGAAACACAACTTCCTCCCTTTTCTTCCTCCCTTTACATGATCGATACTTGCAAAACGTTTATCTTTAGCATCCTCTCAGTAGTTAATCTCCTTTAGGTTCGTGGTATTGTCAACAGTTAGCTAGCTAACTTCTAGATTTGCAATCTACTCACATCTTCTTCTTCTTCTTCAACGTTTTGTCACGCAATTATAATGCTACTTAAGTAATATGGCAAAGATGTCAATTAGTTGTCCTAATTCTATGTACTTGTAGTTGTTGGTTTCCAGATATATAGTTATTTGCTTTGCTAGTAATAATGCCAATAGATCCTTAATTCTTCTAATAATTAATGTATATATGTGAACTCGATAATAAAATCACGATCTACCTTCCTCGTTATTCGAGTATATATTATTTGTTTTGTAACCAAAAAAAGTAAGATTGTTCTACCTGTACTCCTTTCCTTTCCTGAAACTAACCTTTGCTAAAAATAATTAAGGGGAAAGTGATCATATGTTAGAGATCTTCTCCTGACACCTTATAAAGAATTTAGAAGAAAAACAAGGACAAAGAAAGAAAACAAGAAAAATCTTATTGCCAATCCTAGTTATGCTCACCCATTCTTTCTCTGATCATCAAGATGTTGCTCCATGTTGTTGTTAATTTTTATGGATGACTAGCTGACTAATCGGTAAAATTCTCTTATGCATGATGACAGGTAACATTATCTCATTCATGGTATACCTGGCTCCAGTGTAAGTATATATTGTGCTTGAGTTTGTGTTTCTTCGCTTGTTGTTCTTGATTATGCAAATCCAATGAAGAAAATATTAAATAGCTATTTTTTCTTACAGGCCAACATTTATCAGGATTTTAAGGAAAAAATCAACAGAAGATTTCCAATCATTGCCTTATCTCGTGGCATTGTTTAGTTCTATGCTTTGGCTCTACTATGCAATGCTCAAAAACGATGCAATTCTTCTTGTCACCATCAACTCATTTGGATGTGTCATAGAGAGTATTTACATTGCCATTTATATCGCTTATGCAACAAGAGAGAGCAGGGTATAAATGCATGATTTATCAATTGCTACCACTGCTTTATTCAAGATTTAACTTGTAATATCAATAATCCATTTTAATGATATAACTTGAGTTTTGGGATGCAGGTCTCAACAATCAAATTGCTTGTTTCTATGAACATGGGGTTATTCTCGTTGATCCTTCTCCTTACACATTTTCTAGCAAGTGGTTCAACTCGTGTCAAGGCTCTAGGTTGGCTTTGTGTTGCCTTCTCTGTATGCGTTTTTGCAGCACCCTTAAGCATTGTGGTGAGTTTGACTTCAGAGTACTGAACTACAACTTCATAATTTTAGCTAGCTTCATGTTTTTCACCTATCATTCATTTGTTTTTTTGTAGAAACAAATCATTCGAACAAAAAGCGTTGAGTTCATGCCGTTCACCTTGTCATTTTTCCTTACTTTGAGCGCTGTCATGTGGTTTGCTTATGGCCTTTTCATCAAGGACTTGTGTGTTGCTGTAAGTGATTTCTATGCATTATTTTCGAAAAATATTAAAAAGAAATCCACCTCTTTCATTTAAGCTCAGCCGTTAAATTAATCTGTTTGTTTCCATGTGAATTCGCAGCTTCCGAACATCTTGGGCTTCGTCTTGGGGCTACTTCAGATGCTGCTGTATGGAATCTACAGAAATGCAAAGAAAAAGAAGATACCAGCTGAAATCTTGAAGAGCAGTGTCATACTAAGCACATTAGGGGCTTCTGAAGTTTATCCAGTTGATGCTCAACCTGATGTGAGTGCAGCGGAGCATGACCAAACAGAGGAGTCTAAGGAGAATGAGAAAAGCACGGATGCTTCCCACGATGACCTCCAATCAAATGAATGTGCAGTTTGAGCCACCTGTATTTATTTATTATGGCCTCGTTACAATCTTCCTCACTGATGATCATGTCATGCCATTGATCCCCTACCAGTTGCATTAATTTCATGCCGTACACTCTGTATGAGTGAGATGTGTCTGCTTCCCTCTTGATATAAGGATCAAAAGCAGTACAAAATGCTTATTTTGTTTGTTTGTTTGTTTGTTTTAACATGTTAGTGAGCTTACTTGGGAACACTGGGTAAAACAGACCATACAGCTTAAATTAGGCTTCACTTTATTAAAATAGATGCGTGGCCTAGCTAGCTTGCAGCCTCTTGTGAGCCCAATTTCATGCGGTCTTTTCTGATTGACCCTTGATTTTGGGCAGGCCATGTGATATTCTGGTTGCCATATAAAACACTTCAACCAGAAGGCCACATGTTGAAGGTTCGTGAGTTCCGTTTCGTTATTGGCATGACTTCCTCCTTGTGATCTCTCTTTTATGAACGAACTTCCCTGTCATCTAAAGCAACACAACAGGCACTTCCATACTGATAAAACATGGTACACCTGGGACCAGGGTATGGGTAAAACTTGTACATTTCCAAGTCATATTCCAGTAAAGAGCAGCTCTGGGAAAAATGGTAAGTGGTCATTGACAGGGGAAGGAGGGTTTATTCTGTTAAACGGATGCATCGAGTCTTTTTCACCTTGACAAGAAATATTTTAAATGCAAAGATTGTTTTGTGCTCTGGTAAAATATTTGTGAAAGAATGCATCACGAGATTACCACATCAATTAGTTGATAAAATTATGTTCACTGGCCGGTAAAATGTCGTCGAAGAAGACTACAGAGTACAGACAGCTGAAATGTTTATGCTTGGAAGGAACCTCCAAGAGCAAGAACATGACCCAGACGTCTTTAACTCTCAAAATTTTTTGAATACGTCTTGTTCTTTTCTTGCTCTCCTAGATGATAATGTACACTCTCAGATTATGCTTTTCTTCGTTATCATCATCTTCTTGTTCTATGTTTCAACATAAAGAACACTAACTGGCACCAAATCCCTTACAAGCAGCAAAGCAAAGCTTAAATTTCCGATGTTTCTTCTTCACTCGGTGATGGTGACTGAAGTGCAGGAAACTAAACAGTTAGGAAATATGATGCCAGGCATCATTATAATATTTGTGTATTATCCATTGCTGCCATCAAAACTTCCTTGAGCATTTTGGCGTTGTTTCTCTCTCCAATTTTCTCCCCACATCTTGGCCTCAGCGACTGCTCGTTCCCTATCTAAATCCCTGTTTACCATCTTAGCAGTTTCTCTTGGTGAGTCCTCTTTCTCGGACCCATCCAAGTCCCATCTGCGTCCCGATCCTCCACCTTCCTCATTCCTTGATAACTGTCCACCTCTCTCATCTCTCTGTCTTTTTTCATCCCTGTCCCCTGAACCTCTGTGGCCATGACCATTAGGTTCATAAGCCTGGTTTGCTAAATAAGAAAGTGCAGTGACCACATCCCCAATGAGAGGTCGCGCAGCAGCCTGCTCCTGGATGCACATGGATGCCACAGCCAGAGCCTGGTAGAGTCCTCTCATTGGATAACGTCCCTGCAGCCGTGGATCTGCCAATTTTGAGAATTTCCTGCGATCACTGAATAATGGACGTGCCTGCATAATGGTAACAGCTCCTCCATCAAAACACAATTATCACATAAGCATAGGAAAAATGTACAGACAAAAAGATCATAGAGAATGGGCTAAACTGCAGAATGGTCAAAGTTAATTACCCATGCGACCAGGTTCTGTTCTCCGTGTGGTTGAGCGCTGTCAATTGCTTTACGACCAGTTATCAGCTCTAAGAACACTACCCCAAAACTGTAGACGTCAGATTTTACAGTCAATTGTCCTGTCATGGCATACTCAGGAGCACAGTAACCATAAGTGCCCATAACCCTGGTGGAAACATGTGATTTGTCCCCAGTGGGGCCAAGCTTTGCAAGCCCAAAATCAGAAAGCTTTGGATGAAATCCTTCTTCCAGTAAAATGTTGGATGACTTGAAATCCCGATAAATAACAGGAGGGCTTGCTTTATCATGCAGGTATTCCAAACCTTTGGCTGCACCAGCCGCTATCTTCATTCTTGTGTTCCAATCTAGTGGTTCCTTCTCAGGTGGAAGATCTACAGAAGGATCCATCAACCAGTGAGTTAAATAAAATAAATAGCCATTATTTCCTCTTAATAATGTGTAATTTAATTGTCAAAAAATATGAAATATGTTCAGTGAAAAGCAACTCCAGAATTGTAGTGCACACACCAAGCATTAACTTCAATCAACACTATCCTAAAATCTCAAGCATGAAACGTCATTTTCCTTATGTGCGCATATTTGACATTTCAATAACCTCCCATGTTCATATATCAACATCTGCCTCTTTATTTGATGATGTGACCATCATGTCCCTTATAAATTTTACTTCCTATTCCAAATTATTCAAATTGCAACAGACACAATCTTTGATATTTGAAGCTGTTATTCAAAGAAACCAACCAATGAATTGAGAGTCCATAAATATTAATGTGGACGGTCAATCTATCTGAATGATAAGCCAATGAGTATCACTAAGCAGTAAATTCTGCTTCTAATATCTCAAAAATAAACTCGTCAATTAAGAAAATGAAATAAGGACTCTGATATTTATTTAGTGCATTACCTCAGAAATCAGAACAACCTTGTACAACTAAACTAACTTATTTGAACAAAATTTTACTCTGATCAAATGCTAGTTTTATGATGAAAGATATTCCACTTTCACTCTCTATGCTATGATCTCATTGACAATAAAATCCACCTCAGAAACCAGAATAAATCCAACAATGTTAATGGAATGTTTCAATGCTGTTAAAGATGAGCTAAACAAAATGAAGAGATAGAAAGACAAGAGAACATGCATCATGATTTCTACCCACCACTGAGTTTTTCATTAAAGAAAATCAGTATCACCTACAAGGAAGCGGGAGGAGAAAGAGAGATCATGATACCTCCTCTAACCATAATTAGTGGAGAAAGGTCATTGGTTTAATAAGTCATCAAGGATGTCCCTACTAGATTCTCCAATAACCTGACATGACCATGCTCTTCTTTGCTTTAACCAACCTCAAATTAAAAAGCTTACATGATGCTTCATAGCTGGTCCTATCTTTGAAATTTTTCTTTGGAATATTTATCACTTTGATGACTCAGCATTGTAGAGTAATTTTATTTTGAAAGTTCAATGATTGGGTTAACACTGATAGTAACTTCAGAGGAGCTAGTGTACCTTGATAATACAAATAATTGAGAGAGAAATGATACAAAAATTAAAATTGAAGATTTAGAAATCCAAGTAATGTTACCGTGAAGGTGATCTTCCAACGATCCCAAGGGCATAAATTCATAGACAAGGAGCCGCTGATCCCCATCAGCACAATAGCCAATCAGGTTCACAAGGTTTGGATGATGTAAAAGGCTCAGCATGAGAACCTCCACTAGAAATTCCCTATTACCCTGGAGCCCATTCCTATCCAATCGTTTGACAGCAACAACCTGTGAAAAAATAGGAAGTGAGTAGAAATTAAAAAAATCAACTATGTCCACCACTCTCAAAAGCTGATGCCCTCATGTTAGTTCATCAACGTATAATGGGAATGTCAAAAAACTTCTGACCAGAAACCCACCAGACTTTCACTAAGGCATCATAAATTTAAGCTTCGCAGAAAGAGCAAAACTATTTGTTGCCAAAATCAATCCCATCTGCTGCCTTCCCTAAAAAATTATTAATTTCAAGCAACAACGGCAGCCAGGAATGGATTCAATGTCAGTTAAACAACAAAGAAAAACTTAAGGAATAAGTGTTTGGTCAATGTTTAACTGGCCTCAAATTAAAAACGATACCATCAATGACTCATTAGATTATTAGCATATCAATGGCTCCATACAGATATAAAAATTGATTCCACAAACTTCAGAGTCAAGGATACCAAAGATGGATTAATTAGTGTGTACATATGAGATCGTCAAGAACTATATGGTTCTAAAATCACTGCAAAGAGTTTAACAACCATGCTGATCTAATGGTGATTTAACAAAGCTTTAATCCTTGTCACCCAATTAAGGGACTGTAATAAACAAAGACAGGTCCTCATAACTTGATATTTCTATCCTCATCTAAGTTGAAAAGTAAAGGAGAAAACAATTAAGAATCGATTTCTTGTGCTAAACTGTGAATGAAGTAGGTTGGATAGGTATCCTGTGATAATAAACCCATAACAAAAGAAAATATATCTCGTTTACATTTTGCCTTCACAACTGCAAATAGTAAATTGATCATATATCTCTTAGCAGTGACTGATTTTGTAGTCTTCTTTTCTGCTGTATCCAGTTGTTCAGTGGCTTTAATTTACTTTCAAGTGATTACAAATAGTATTTAAGCTTGGAATCAGTCTTGTATCGAATTTAAATATATTTGCTTAGGATCCTGGGGATCTTTGTGTTGTTTTACTTCATCCCTCTCATTATTTCAAGCACGATAATTCATTGACAAAAAATAGGTGGTCTAAAATCAGTGCTTATAGGTCTGTTAATCAGATGGGGGGGGGGAAGAAGAAGAATTTACCTGACCGGTGCTCTCAAGACACCCTTTATATACACGTCCAAATCCCCCTTCACCTAAGAAACACTCCGGCATAAAATTCTTGGTTGCAGCTGCGAGTTCACGAAAAGCAAAAATTTGAGCAGCTATATTGACACCAGGTGCATCCTTTGGACTTGGCAATTGCCTTTTGGATTGTCCTCCATTGCTTCTTGGTCTGAGCCTGTCAGATCCTGTAAATTCCATCAAAACAAAGAACTCAGATCGATAAAAAAAAAAAAAATTCATTTACTTTCAACTAGGCATTATAAGATTAAGAATTTCAGTCCTCAAATTCAGTGAGATCAATAGAACAGTTGCATAGCAATGGTCATGAATTGAACCTCCAATAAATGATGGTTCCAAAGAGACAATTGATAATTGAATTAAGTTACTAATACCCCCACCCAATATCTCCAACCTTCTAATCACCGATCAGATCCAAACCGAATGCTCGAATACTTCACCAAAGAATGAAAAACTCTTTACAAGCTGCATGAAAATCCAGTGGGGTCTACCAGAACCAATCTAAAGTCTATC